CACGCATTGTGAACAGTGAGCTTGCTCTGCCTGCTAATGTATTTGCTCCTCTGCGTCTCTGGCCTCTGTGAACGCCGTTTACAGACTCTGAAATAAAACAAAAAACCGTCTGGTTCCGATTTATTAGTCGATCGGTGCATCTCTGCTCAAATTCAAATATCAAACTGCTTTTATTTTGGTGGTTTGCCAGCCAATAAATAAGTGAAGCGCTGCGTGTCATGGGCTGCACTCGAAGTCTCGAACATATTACTCGCTTCACTCAGAAAACTGCAGCACATAGGTATTTTTATTTTATTTAATCCCAACCTTCGCGATATGACTATGGCATTAAGCCATAATGCGATATCGATTATATTTCGATATATAATGCACCCCTAATTAAAATAATATTGTTTAAAAAAAAACTCATTTGGGCGCCCCTAGCATTTGCCCATTTCGCCTATGCGACGGGCCGGCCCTGGTGTGAATAATGGTGTAGTTTGAGGACAGAAACACACTCACCTCTGTGTACCAGCTCTGCTCACAGTCAGTGAGTGTTTGATTCAGTGAATCAGAGGGAAGTTTGAACTCAAACCCGCCATCAGTCTCAATCTCTCCACACCTCACAGTGATGTTAGGCATGTTTCAATGCTGAAAAGATTAAAAAAATATTTTAAATCACACAACCAATTCATTGCATTATATTATTAGTGCATAACAAATGTTTTCATGCAACAAACATTAACTCATTTACGGAAAAGATGTATTGATGTGCATATAAAGCTTTTTAAATACTAAGAATCTAATAATTATTCATCAAAATAACTTTAAAATCATAGAAATGACTGCAATGCTGTTAGGATGTTTTGAAGTGTTTTCAACAAACATCATCTTTAATTCCAGTCTGTTCCTCACACAAAGCTCTCATATTTCAGAAATCTTGGAGTATACAGGAGTCATGTTGATTATCACTGTTATGATAGTTTGTCTTTCTGGATCTTGACAGTCCGAGACAACATTCTCTTTATAATACAAACAAAAAAAAAAAGAGCTATAGGCCTAGAGGAATGAAATCACACTGTACAAATATAAACGGCTCACATGTCAAAAGTACACATAAACCTTCACTTAAATCTTAAATGAATGAATGAATGAGCAGAGGCTCATGCGCGTCCATGACATTTATTCATTGAAAAACCCTCCATCAGTTTTGTGCTTTAATTCTCCGTCGCTTCTCTCTTCGGCAGCTGCTCGGTGCTATTTTAGTGACAGATGTCTAGAGGCATCACTGTAACACGACAGCACATCAGTTAATATACAGTGCTCTCTTCTGAACTGCGTGTGTGCGCTCAGGTGAGCACCTGGCTCTGTACACTACTCTAACTCGCTGTGTTCTCGCTCTAGAAGTGAAGTCTCTTTTAAATGTTGTTTATTAGCGTAAATGGACAAATGCCTGCAAAGTCTGACAATAATTAATGTAGTCTATACTTGTTGTGACTGTATTCCATACCTTAAGCGGATCCTTGGGCAAAATAAGTGAAGCAATCCTGACAGCAGAAAGATTTCGCTTTTCTTCAGAGCGTGTTGAGTATTGAGTATGCATTTATACACGAGAGCTCATGGAAGGAGCCAAAGACAGAGACTTTCCAAAAGAAAAAAAAAAGTTTGACTATTGTAATAATCTTAATTTCCTGTGGAACACTGAAGCTTGACCTCTGACCTGATTTTTGTACAATCAAAATATTGGACGTTTGAATTTTTAAATGGAATTTTGCAGTTCTTCTGTTTAAAATACAAATGTGATATAGAATCAAACTCTACTGTAGAATTAGAATTTAAAAATTCATTGTCAAAACTTTTTTCTCATGCTCTGTAGTTTAAGACTGATTTTCTGCTCATTACCTTGTGACAGTAAATGTGTCTCTAGTGAGTTGATTTTCTTCTTCATCTCTTCATATTTCATCAGTTTTTTCATCTGCGCCTCCAGAAATGTCTCTGGAGTAAAACTCTCCTCTGTTTTCTTCCAGCATCTGCTCGATGTTCTCCATCAATGTGGACACTTGTATTTTGGGACCAAAGAAATGATGTTGTCCTCCGAACCTCTCAATGACAGACTGTGTTTCTTCATTGAGTTCTGCTGTCTGATGCTCTGAGCTCTGCTTTATGAGGATCATGATGTTTTTGTTGATTCTGGAGCTGAAGATCCTCTGGATCTTCTCTGTTTCAGCTTTGTCTTCATCAGTCAGTGGAGCGTCAGGAATAATGAGGAGGAAAGCATGAACTCCAGGATGACACAGAGACACACAGCGGAGAGTCTGACGCATCACTTGCTCCTCTGAGAGCCGAGTCAGAGCCGGAAGCACTATTACACTGATCACACGTCCATGAAGCTCCACGTCTGTCTGCTGCAGGATCTGCTCTGATACGGAGGATTTTAACGTCCCGTCGCTCCCGCACACGACCAGATTCAGCTTCACAGCCTCTGAAACTGACAGAAGAAGAAGATTAAAACATGTTAATTTATCACTAGAAACTTCAAATATCCTCACACTCACGTCTTCCTGTGGCTCCTTGCTCCAATGTGAAATACTGTGAACCTTCAGCGAACTCCAGGTGCCGTCCGTCATTCATTTTCACGATGTCTTCAAACGCCTGCAGAAGATCATCAGGAGAGCTGCTTCTCTGAAGACTGAAGTGTCTGTTTGCACATTTCTGAATGATTGTCTGTAGGATGTCATTGGTTTCTGTGGTTTCTTGTGTGCTGAGCACCATGGTGTGTTGATAAACCTGCTCAGAGAAAGAGTGCAGCACCTTCTCCACACGCTCCTGAT